ATATACATGTTGTTTTATTCTTTGTTGTTTTTGTTTCTATTCTTAATGCTTGCTTTGGATTGATCACCCTTTGCATGATTTAAGGTTCCATGGGTATTGGAAAATAACCTTTGAAACTAGTTCTGAAACATATGCCTAGTGGTGATTGTATCTAGGGATAGAGCTTGACCCATTAGTAGTCTTAAACCCTAGCCCGTAATGCGGATGTAGATATTGGGTACTCAAGGGATTGATATTCAATATCCGCATCTAGGCTCTTGCTCTAAGGGATTAGGTTTGAGTAAACTTATGGGTTGACTAAGCAATGAATTCAACAAGAGATTAAGGATACATTAGTGTTACGTTTGGTGAAATCTGACCCCCACAACCTCACAATACCACAATACCATTCCTTACCTTTTCCACTCACAAAACAATATTTATTTACAGCTTTCATTCCAATAGTCACAACTTTGCATTCACTGCACAAACTATGAAATTGGAATTATTCTTTAGTCACGAATAGTCAATAAATGCTTATATTACCTTCTAATCCCTGTGGATACGATATTTTTACTACTTGAACGGCCGGTATACTTGCCGTGTTTGAGACCGTTGATGGAATTAAACTAAATTTCAATTATAACAAAAGTACTTCAACGGAAATCTCAACAGCAGTCAAGTGCCGAGGTCGAGGAGCTGCGTCGGAAGCTTCTTGAGTCTGAGAAGTCTGTTCAAGAGGCTTTGGCGGCTCTGTCTGAGGTGCAATCGAACGAGAAGAAGTTCGAGGCCGAGATGGTCCGCCGTGGCCGTCAAAATGATGATCTAATGCTACAAGTGCAGCGATTGGAGAATTCGTTGAAGGCCGAGGCCGAGAAGTCTGCTGCGCTGGCCGGCGAGTTAGAAGCCGAGAAGAAATCCTATGGGGCATACCGAGAGAGGGCTCGGCGTAAGGTTCTGTCGCTGCATGAAGTCGGTTTTGCCCAGGCGGCTCGGCAGGCCCGACATTTTGGAAGTCTGCCTTCGAACTTCAAGTTTGACATGTCTATGGATTTCTATAGGGGGAACTATGTCAACCTTACCCAAATCCCCCCGAATGAGCAGCCGGATGTTGAAGTGCCTCTTCATCACCAGGCCGGGCCGAGCAGCAAAGACCAGGTGCAGGCGGAAGTGGCTGAGCAGGAGGCGCCGGCCCAAGGGGAGCACGAAGCACAGGCTTAGGGTTATTTTTAAATCTTGTATGCAAGGGCCGATAGAGCCCCTTTAATTTTGTAATTCTGGGCCGGTAGTGCCCTTTCCTTTTCAATGCAATTCTGTTTCTCGTCAAATATAACGTATTCCAAACGATCGTTAATGTAGCAAATCAAATCGTGCCACGTGTAGGTTAGTTTATACGAACATGCGTCCGAGTTGAAGGAGAATCTCGGAGGGAGATTTTAAAATAAAGCCACATCCTTGGCCGAGAGAAGTCTCGGGAGGGAAGACTTGGTTGAAAAGACACATCCTTGGCCGAGAGGAGTCTCGGGAGGGAAGACTTGGTTGAAAAGCCACATCCTTGGCCGAGAAGGTTCTCGAGAGGAAAGACTTGTTGAAAAGCCACATCCTTGGCCGAGAGGAATCTCGGGAGGGAAGACTTGGTTGAAAAGCCACATCATTGGCCGAGAGGAGTCTCGGGAGAGAAGACTTGGTTGAAAAGCCACATCCTTGGCCGAGAGGGTTCTCGGGAGGGAAGACTTGGTTGAAAAGCCACATCCTTGGCCGAGAGGGTTCTCGGGAGGGAAGACTTATAAAATTTTGCGAAAATGTAAAATTGAGTCAAAAATAGCTAAACTGTATTGTTTATTGATGAATAGACGCCTCATTAAAAACCTTGCCGGCCAAAAACCTCTTTTCATAGTTTTTTAAGAGGAAAAAAGACCGGTTCAAGGAAAAGAGTGCATCATAAGACAATTACAGATGTATAGAGTTAAATTCTAACTGTAATAGGTCTTCAAATGGGTAGAATTCCATGTCCGAGGGATGACCTTGCCGAATAATTCTTCTAATTTGTATACGTCGTTATTGAGAGAGTGTTGGACTCTGAATGGGCCGTCCCAGTTTGCCCCCAACTTCCCTTCAGTCGGGTTGCGTCGTGCCGAGCCGGTTGACCTCCAAACAAGATCGCCTTCTTGGAAATTCCTTGGTTTCAATTTGGAGTTAAATCGCCGAGTCATCCGTTGTTTACACACTTCGGCTATGATTTGGGATTTCTCTCGGATTTCATCTACGACGTCCAGTTCGGCTCGGATTGAGTCATCGTTGGACTCCTCGTGAAAGTGTGTCCGTCGGAATGAAGGCTCGCCCACTTCGACTGGTATCATAGCGTCCGTGCCGTATGCCAATCGAAACGGGTCTCCTTTGTGCTTGATTAGGGCGTGCACCTGTACGCCCAGAGAACTTCGGGAAGCTCTTCGGCCCAGGCTCCTTTAGTTGAGGCGAGTCATTTTTTCAGTTCGATCAGAATAACTTTGTTGGTGGCTTCGGCCTGACCGTTGGACTGTGGGTGTTCAACGGACGTGAATCGGTGCCGGATGCCGAGGTTCTCAAGGAAGGTGTTGAACTTTTTATCTGTGAATTGGAGCCCATTGTCAGAGATGATTGCGTGTGGGATGCAGAACCGGGTCATGATGTTTTTCCATACAATTTTTTGGACATTGGCGGCCGTTATGGTGGTGAGCGGATTGGCTTCAATCCACTTGGTGAAATAATCAACAGCTACGACCAGGAATTTGCATTAGCCTTTAGCGAGTGGGAACGGGCCGAGAATGTCGATACCCCATAGAGCAAACGGCCAAGGGGCACTGATCGAGTGTAACTATTCGGCTGAGGCATGGACTAGGTTACCATGTTGTTGGCATTGTTTGCACTTCTTTACATATTCTGCACAATCAGTTTTCAGGGTCGGCCAATAGTAACCGGCCCTCAACACCTTAGCGGCCAGTGTCCTTCCTCTTGAGTGAGATCCGCAGATCCCCTCGTGAACTTCTCTCATGACGTAATCGGCTTGTTGTTGGTTAATAGACTTCAACAAAGGTGTGGAAAATCCCCGTTGGTACAACTCTCCGGCCACCACAGAGTATCGTGCCGCTTCGGTTCGGATTTTCTTAGCCTCAATCGGATCGGCCGGTTGCGAGCCGTTAGTGATGAAGTTCCAGATATTGGTCATCCATGTTTACGAGGCTTCATCTACCGGCAGGCAATCTTGTCGGACGCTTGGGGTGGGAAACTCCAGATGTATTGTGGACCGAAGTTGTCCCGGCTCTCTCGTTACTCCCACGCGGCGTGTGTTTAACTTGTATCTCTTGAAACTGGTTGCTCATCCCCCAGAAGAGATGGTAATATTTAAGCAGATTGGCATCCTTGACTTGAAAATTGTCGTTCACCTGCTCGGTGACAACCTTTGAGTCGGTCCAGCATGTGATTTTTGTAACCCCTATCTCGGATGCCAATCTCATTCCGGCTAATAAGGCTTCGTATTCGGCCTAGTTGTTGGACGCCCGAAAGCCGAAACGTAGTGATTGTTCCAAGGTGATGCCGGACAGACTCTCCAAGATGATCCCGGCTCCACTGCCTTGGTCATTGGAGAAGCCGTCCACGTGCATTGTCCAAGTGTTGTCTTCAAAATGGCCGAGTGGTGACAGTTCATTGATGAAGTCAGCTAGGTTCTGTGATTTGATGGCTCCTTGGGGTTCGAAACGGATATCGAACTCGGATAGTTCGATTGACCATGCCATCATTCGGCCAGCCAATTCTGGTTTTCGCAGTACTTTGGCGATTGGGCAATCATTTCGGACCACCATTGTGTGACTCTGAAAGTACTGACGAAGGCACCTAGCAGCATATATGAGTCCTAACGCTACCTTTTCCAAGAGTTGGTATCGGCGCTCGGCATTTTGAAGCACTCAGCTTATGAAGTATATGGGTTTCTGTTAGCCGTCTTGTTCCTGTATCAGACTGGTGCTTAGGGCTTCGCTAGAAACCGCCAAGTATATGACCATCTCTCGGCCGGGTGTCGGCTTGGCCAGCACAAGCGGGGTACCAAGTCGTTCCTTGAAGAGTTGAAAAGAGGCTTCGCACTCGTCGGTCCATTGAAATCGGTTCGCCTTTTTCAGAAGACCTAGAATCGGCTTGGAGGTTCCGGCCATACATGGCAAGAAGCGAGACAATGCTGTTAGCCGACCGGCTAACTTTTGAACCTCTTTCAGATTTGACGGGCTTCTCATATCGATAATAGCTTGAAATTTGTTCGGGTTGGCCTCAATACCTCGGCTTGATAACATGAAACCCAGGAACTTACCGCCCGAGACGCTGAACACACATTTGTCCAGATTAAGGCGCATCTGATGCTTCCGTAGTGCTTGAAAGACATTGGCCAGGTCGGCTTCGTGAGAAGGAAGGTCAGCCGACTTCACAACCATGTCTTCTACATATACCTCCATGCTTGTGCCTATTTGTTCATGGAAGATCCTATCCATGAGTCTCTAGTAAGTGGCTCCAGCATTTTTTAGTCCGAACGGCATCACTTGGTAACAGTAGTTGGCTGATTCCGTGACAAACGTCGTCTTGTCCTCGTCTCGTGGGTGCATTCGGATCTGGTTATATCTGGAATAGGCGTCGAGGAATGACAAAAATTTGTGGCCGGCCGCCCCGTCGACGAGTCGGTCGATGTTCGGCAGAGGGTATGCGTCTTTCGAACATGCCTTGTTCAGGTCAGTGTAATCTGTGCACATCTGCCATTTTCCGTTTGATTTTTTTACCATCACCACATTGGCTAACCATGTAGTGTAGTGGACTTCTCGGATAAACCCCGCATCTAGGAGTTTAGAGACCTCACCTTCTATTGTTTTTTTCCTCTCTTCCCCTGTTTTCCTCTTTCGTTGGGCGATCGGTTTCGCCTCTCGGCAGACCGAGAGCTTATGGCATAAGAAATTGGGGTCGATTCCTGGCATATCGGCCGGCCGCCACGCAAACAGGTCTTTGTTTTATCTAACGACTTGTCCGATTTCGCGCCTTTCCGTCGCGGACAGGTTGGAACCCAGGTAGGTCACGTGTAGGTCGGTCGGCCCGATGACAATAGGGTGTCGGTCTTCAATCGGTTCGACCCTCTCGTCTTGCTCCATTCGAGGGTCGAAGTCCACAATTGTGTCAATTTCTTGGGCCACTATGTGCACTCGTTTCACTCCACGCGGCTCGGCCGTTTCAAGTCGAGGCAACCGAAGACTAGCGAAATAACACTCCCTAGCCGCTTTCTGATCGGCATGGATGGAAATGATCCGACCCGACTCGGAAGGGAATTTCGTGGCTAAGTGTGGGGTTGACACGATCGCACCCAACTTGTTGAGGGAGGGCCTTCCGAGGAGGATATTGTATGACGTGTTGGCGTGCACAACCACGTAGTTCACCGAGATGTCTCGAGCTTCGGCTCCATCGAAGCAGAAGTGAGTGGATAACTTGATGTACCCTTTGGTTTGGACACGTTCACCGGAGAATCCAACCAATGGCTCATTGTAGGGAATCAACTCGGCCTCTGGGGTGTCGAGCTGTTTGAAGGTGTTCCAGTAGAGGATATCGGCCAAGCTTCCCTGGTCGACCAACGTCTTCCGAACAATGCAGTTGTGGATCTCAACGCTGATAACCATGGGGTCATCTTGATCGGGATCGATGCCTTTAAAGTCGGCCTCGGTGAATGTGATGGAAGGCATCCTTCGTTGAGTGCGTTCAATCGCGTGCACAGCTCGGACGGCTCGGAGGTGTCTCTTTTGTGCTGAAGAGGTAGAACCGCCGCCTGCGAATCCACCGGCAATGGTGTTGATGACTCTTTGAGGCTGGGGTGTCGGGTCGTCTTCCTTCCGGCCCCTCGACTGGCTCCGTTCCCTGTAGGGGTGCCTGTCGGACCTGTCTTGGTCAGGCTGATCTCTACGATGTCGTCGGTCATCGTATCTAGGAGAACGAGGTCGATCGATAAAACGTTGAAGCTGGCCTTATTTGATTAAGTCCTCAATTTTGTCCTTCAAGGCCGCACACTCGTCAGTCGAGTGGCCCCTGTTACGATGATACTTGCAAGACTTGGTAGTGTTGGCACGAGGAGGAGTCGCAGCTCGCTTCGGCACTGACAGGACCTCCGAAGCAAGTGCTTGGTCCAAGACAGCCAATCGGCTAGTATTCAGCAGAGTATAATGAGAGTACCTCGGTCCTCGCACAGGCTTGTCTCTTGGGACGAGGTCCTTGGGCCGGTTACGGTAAGAGCTTTCGGCCGGCTTCTCAACCTTGGCCGCTACCTCCGCCTTGGCCTGATTACGGAATTTCGCGAGTTCCTCCATCTGCATGTATTTGTCGGCACGACATCTCAAGTCGTCCATGTCGGACGGGGGTTTCTTGCAGATGCTGTTAGCAAATGGTCCCGGCTTCAGAGCTATAGTCAAATGATGAAGGGCGACGGCCGGATTGAGGTCTCGGATTTCAAGAGCCGCTTTGTTGAATCGGCTCATGAAGGTCCAAAGGGATTCCTTGTTCTCTTGTCTTATGCTCACCAGCGCGAGGGAGGTCAGATGGTGAGGTCGGCTGGTGGCAAACTGGATGGTGAACTAGGATGCTAGGGTGTTGAAAGAGTCGATCGAGTTGGCCGGGAGACGAGTGAACCAGCTCAATGCTCTTCCTTTCAAAGATGTTGGGAAGATACAACATAGGGCGGCGTCGTCGGTGGTGCTGAGAGTGACTTGGGTGAGAAAAATGTCGACGTGCTCGTCGGGGTCGGTGGTCCCGTCATACTTATCTATCGGAAGGGACTTCCAATGGTCGAGAAGGGAGGATTGCATGGTGTTGGGGGTGAAAGGGTGTCGGTGTGCCCCAGTCGGCGGGGCGTACGCGGGTCGGCCGATTACCTGGGCAGCTGAGGCATGGTTCCCCGGGGCGATAGTGGAAGTGTGAGGGAGAGAAGTTTGATGTCCGAGCGAGTGGAACGACCCTTGGGTGTGAGTCGGCTCGGAGGGTTTCCATGTGGGATCTTTGTTTTGGTTTTTCAAGGCGGCATTCTCTTCCCTCAAGGCGGCCATCTCGCGAGCGTCTCTCTCGCTGCTGCCTCATGGCGGCCATTTCCTCTTTCAGTTGTCGTACCATCTCGCCCATGTTGGTCTCGTCAACCGTCTCGGCATTGTCCGCCTCAGATTGGTGCTCATCTTCGGATCGGTGGTCTTCAGTGTGTGTTCTCCTTGTCTTTGCCATGATGTCTCTTCAAAATAGTACTCAGTCCTTCTTCTTCAAAAGCTATCGGTTCGGCCCCACGGTGGGCGCCAAATTGTACCTGTCTGAGAGTACACTCGTAATCTTCAGGTGGGTAAAGGGCTGAACGAGAGCTCCAGATGGATCTTCAGAGGGGGGAGGTACCTGCAAAAGGCACTCCGACGCTCAAGTCAGAACAAGCACGATTCTCAAGAGTAATAATTGAACAGTGACATACCTCGTTACGTGTGACTTATTTATACTACCTATCATGGGCCTGAGCATGGTGGGCCTTCTCTGACACTTACCAAATTAGGTAATACGGTGTTAATCGGCTGGTTATGCCTTAATTGCGTGTTGTCCTTTGTTAATCATGATCGTTGTTCTAATTATTCTATCCCTGTTGAACTTAGGCCCAGCCGATGTAGAACGGTCGAGACGACATTTTTGGCATTTGGCCGAGTAGATAAGTAAAGGATACGACTCTTGATCCCTTGCCGAGCCGAAGTGTTATCTACGCTGCGTCAATATCTGATAGGATATGACGTGCCGGTCCACGTGGCCGCTAGGTGGCTGATCCACGCG